TGATTATTATCATAAATTATAACGTAATTTTGGACTAATCATATAATTACACGTAAATGATATTAAAATATTATAAAAAGATGTTGTTAAATTATCATTATTTTTAATTAAAAAATGCAAGAAACCAGAAAAAAAAAATCTAATAGCAATAATATGACTGTCAGCCAACAACTCCACTCATTGCCACATAAATTATATTCTTATTTAGAATTTAAGGTCAACGTAAACCATAAATTATTATATGATTCCAATCAAGGTTATTATAATCTTGAACAATGTTTAAATTTTAGGTTTAATAGCCAATTTAGTCCTCACTTTGGTTGAAAAATCTCAATTTAGTCCCTCGTTATAAAAGTGTTTTGAATTAGTCCTAACTTTTAAAATCGTGGGTCAGATTGGTCCTTTCTGTTAAATATAAGTTAACAAAATTAATGGATGATGATGTGACACAACTTAAAGCTAACGAGGGACCAATCTAACACATCAGCTTTAAGCTGTGTCACATCATCATCGATTAATTTCGTTAACTTATATTTAACGAAAGGGACAAATCTGACCCACTATTTTAAAAGTTAGGACTAATGTAAAACACTTTTATAACGAGGGACTAAATTGAGATTTTTTAACCAAAGTGGGGACTAAATTGGCTATTAAACCTAAATTTTATAACATATGTAACAGAATATATAGTATTTTTTTATGAATAAAAGTAGCACATAAAGATTGACTGGAATTGAACTGTTCAATGACAATTAAAAATTTCTTCTCCCATACCCTACCAATTTTTTTAACAATCTAAAACATAGATAAGTGAGATTGTATATGATATAAAACCCATTATGTTAGTAGTGGGGACCAGCCTCAGCACATCACCTTTCCCTTTCAGTATTTTACATTAACCTTGGATTTTTTTCCTTTCTCGTTTGGTTTCATTTGAAGATAATAAGTAATACATTAAGTTATAAGTAGAAGCTTCTTATAAGAAAAAGACAATTAACCTTTCCTTAAAGAAGATGATGTTTGCGAGATAAGCTTCTTGATTTTGTATGTGTACGTAGTGACATGTAAACAATAGTTCCACATATATGGTACAAGGTAATAGTGATATGGTACATTTGTGACAAGGCAAACATCCGCAACATCTAACATGTAAAATGTAATGCAAATCACGTGGTGTCAATTTCTTAAGAAAATGAACCTTGGGATTAAGATTGAAAGGAAAAAGGTTTATGACATTCTAGCGTACAAATAGTTGATTGGGAGTAGGGATGATAATAAGTTAGTGAGAGATATTCTAATCCGCAGCCCGAATTTCTAATAAAGAAATCTATTTGTTATCTATTTCGTAAAATGCTAGAATTCATAAGGTGCTTTTAAAATATTTAAAAAATAATATTTTATACATTTCTAAAATAAAATTTAAGTAAATTACAAAAAACTAAAATATATATAATATAAATTAAATTTTAATTTTAATCAAATTTAACCTAATAAAATATAAATAATTTTAATTTAATAAAATATAAATTAAATTTTAAATTTAATATTTTCTTATTAATAGATATCTACATAGTGATAGTATAATATTGTATCTGACCCATGTAAACAAATATTACAATATTTGTTATCCACTAATTACATATACACTAGTGTTTGTTGTTAGTTTTCATTTTGAAGAATTTGTTTGTTGTTGTTATTTGATTGAACTTCTTTGTTGTTGATATTATACTACACGTTCATAGTTCATGCTTTATCAAATACCAAAAACTGAAATTTGTTGTTTTTCTTCTTTTCAAGTCTTGTTGAGTTATAAAAAAGGATTACAATTAATTAAAAAAAACACAAAAATTCACATAGTATTTATTGTTGGGTTTATCAAGGAGGAAGAGCTACATGTGAGTTACACAAACACGAATTACATATGGAATAATGGGTTTTTCACCTTTATATATTATTCTACTTTCTCATTTTTATTCAATGTGGGACTTAAACTAACACTTGGATTTCCAAATTTTTTAAACAGAGGAAACGAACACCAAAATATCGACAAATGATACCCACTAAAATCATTGTTTGCAAAATGAAGATTAAGAAAAGTTCGTATATTTATTGGTATGAACTAATATGTGGGTCTAGTTGATTTTGACCTGTCAAATAAGATGCCAAATGAATAAATCTGGTCATCCAAGCTCTGTCTTAAGGAATTATATATATATAATTTGTATAGTAGTAAAAATCGAGAGAATCAGTGGTAAAAATTGTAAGTTTAATTTTTTTATCAACATTTAAAAAATATAAAGTTGATTTAAAAAATTTGAAAGAAAAGATGGGAGAGGTTTTAAATTCAATTCTTCTCCTGATAAAAGGTAACAACAAACATCTCCCTCATAATAGCTTACTTTTGGGATTGAAACTAATTATGTTATCATCTAAGACTTCTTAATAAAGATAGACTTGATGAGTTGAGTTCTGTTCAGACCAACACTAATTAGTACAGAGTTTTTTTCTTAATTTATTTATTTTTGCTAAATTTACAAGGAAGAAATCCTGATATATAGAAAACAAAGAAGATACCGAAAGTGTAGTATTAAAATTCCTTAAAATTCATAAACAAAGTTAATTAGGTGACGAGATTAATTAACATACCTTAAACATTCTAGCATTTTACAGAAATAAAAATGATCTGCTATAAATAGTTACAGTGAAAGGAACTTCCAACGGCCAGACCCAGCACTTGGTTTAACAAAAAGTTTGTGAATACGTACGTCATGAGCTTTGTTTTATCTTTATCAGCAAATATATGAAATTCTGTGTGTGTATATATATATATATATATATAACATAATTTATTCGTAGGCTGCGAATGAGCTGTGGTAAAGATGCATTATTATGAGAGAACATGCAAGTATGGTTGGGTTAGTGGGTACTAAGTATATAAATAACATCACGCTGGCGTTTTGCCTTTACAAATGCAATTTAACATTTCTATTGCAGACACTTCATCAGCTCCACGGTGATGAAAGTTGGCCATAATTATTATGATCCCAGTTTAACGTCACATGAATCAGAGACAATATATTCTCAGATTTCGTGAATTGGACTCATTACATCAGGATGCTCAATCATTGTTCCGAAAATAATCACTATTTAGTCTTCTTTTTCTCATCATTGAGAAATATTAAGAAAGAACAGTAGATTAGTATTAGCTTAAATTGTTGTTAAGTGGGGCTAACACCACGACAGTGGTACCGAAGTTGACATCATTCGTGATATAAACTAACCGTGTCCAAATGAGGGTCAGCTGCACCTAGCTATGTTAATTCTTGAGTACCCTGAAAACAATCTTAATACACAGTTGTTAATAGAGGCTAATTAATGCACAAGACTAATTTAATTCCACAAGCACCAAAACTGTGTTATTGTACTACTTTTAAGAGTCCAAAAATTTAATATAAATTTTCAGATAATAATACTTTGACAATATTTTTTTGATAATATTTTAACACTATCTATATGTCATTACGTGATTGATCCATGTTGGTATTTATAATTATTATTATTAATTATAGAATAATTTTAAACTAATCACAAAATAACACGTTAATAATGTTAAAATATTATCAAAAAAATATTCTCAAAGTATCGTTATTAAGTTTTCCATGATTGTCATAACATAAATAATTCACTCTAGAGTACACAAGACTAAGTATTCCTTCTTAGTAGACAACACTTACTAAATCGATGCCAAGCAGACAGCTTCAGCTTTGTATGTTATTATCTAGGTTTAAATAGTTTTTTTTTTACTTTTTCTAAAATAAGTTTGGGTTATTTTAGCGTTAGAAAAAAAAAACTAGGTTCTGCAAAATAAATATTTTCCATTTGGTTTCAGAAATTGTTTATTTTATCCAAAAAAGAAAACATCTTAATCTTAAGTGGTGTTAAAATATTTGTATTCCTAAATTTTTTTCATATGTTTTCCATTCTACGTGATGTATAAAATTAATAAAGTTAGATAATGATATAAAATTTAAAAAAAAAAAATCTAAGTAACAAGAAGAAATTCAAAAGAGTTCGTCGTCGACAGCAGGGTTCGAACCTGCGCGGGCGAAGCCCAACAGATTTCAAGTCTGTCTCCTTAACCACTCGGACATATCGACTGTTAAGACGTAAAGCTAATCTACGCTTTAAATATTATTGTACAAAATATTTCACAAAAATATATCCTTTAAAATTTTTACAAGGATTTTCTTCTTAAACTCAAATAAATAAGTATTAAAATCATTATTAACGAATAAAATTTGCTCTTATCAATGGCTTTCCACGAGAAGATGAAAATCTAAATTTCTTAATTTAAAAGAATATTAAACTAAAATTTCATAGTTACTGTTATTAGATCATTTCATCGAGTAAAATAATCAAAAATTTATATTAGAAAACCACACTACACTACATTTTCATAAAATTTATGTAAATGTATTTCCAAAATTTTTTATGACCAAATATATATATTTTAACGATTTCTAATATTCATAGTTTTCAAAATAAAGGGAGTACAAAAGAAACATAAAACATTATTTCATATTTTAACGTACTTATACTATTCATATACAAGAATTCAATTTCGTATTGCTTTGGACTAGTATAGTCTCTTCTTATTACTAAGCCCAAATCCTTTATTTTAAGTAAACTTTTTAAATTCCTTTTAGGTAAAAATTTTTTATCACGAAAAAAAAAGGTTAAAAAAATTTTGTTTAATTTTGAAATGTGTATTTATTTTAGTTTTATTTATTATTTATTATTTTAATAAATAATTAGATAGTGATTGTAGTTTGTTTTATTTTTATGTTTAAATATTTATGTAAAAGACAAAAAAAATAAAAAAAAAAATTATACCCAAATAGCACAATTACTTGACGAAAAATAAATGAAACAAATAAATTCAGTTAGAGTTTAACCAGGTTCCTAAACGTTGTCGTTTAACCGTCATCGCTATTCTTTGTTCCAATTCCACCTCACATTCCTTATCTTCCTCCTTCTCATCGTCGTGGAGTTTCAGTTTCCGATGAAAACTTAATTTCAGAACCAAAAAAAAAAAACATGAACACGGTAATCTCACCTTCTACAAACCGTTACCTTTGGGCGGTTCCCTACTCTTCTCTCTCTCAGGTTCGAAACAACAACACAAACGTTGTTAACGTTACAAGATTCGGTTCCACACTTACTACCAATGTCTTCTCACACTCTCTCGTTCATGCCAAGCTCTCTGCACGGGCCACTTCCGATGAAGTAGACATGCAAATAGTGACTGAGGAACTTGTAGAGGAGACGAACGCTGAAGAGAAAACCAACCAGGACAACACGTCTACTTTTTCTGCTCCAATTGACAAAGAACTTAAAAAGGTTGGTTCTGAGTTCTAAATTCCCACTTCTGGTCGTTCAAGAATTTCAATTTAGGGTTCCCATTTCGTTAAAACCCGTGCTTTCTTGGAAAACTCCAAGTTTGCATGTTGGTAAGTGGGTGGTGATTTTGATGTTTGTTTTGGTATGTGACAGGTTGCTCAGAAAACTGCTGCTACCTTTGCGCCAAGGGCTTCCACAGCTACCAAAAACCCTGCAGTGCCCGGAACTGTTTTGTACACCGTTTTTGAGGTTCAAGGGTATGTTTCAATGTTGTTGGGTGGAGCTTTGTCTTTTAATCTCATATTTCCTTCTGATGAACCTGACATTTGGAGATTAATGGGAATGTGGTCCATCTGGATGTTCAGTAAGTTTCTACCTGCCGATTTTGTATTTATTGTTGTATGAAAGAACTACTGCTTACTTGCTGCTCCGTGTTTTGCACTTACCATTCTGTAGGAAGTTTGTGTGATCAGTTAAAAATTTTCAGAACCTTCTAAAGATTGTGCTTTTCTCAGATTCATGCTTTGCATTTGAAATTGAAACCAAATTTAATTATTATCAGTAGCTCCTTCTTATTGGCTGTTCTTGGATCCGGTCACTTCAGGAAACAAGTTTGTGATTGCAATTCGTCACCATCTTTGATATTGCAGGAAATTATGGAATGCAACAATCATAGAATCCAAAAACCTTGGCTATATGAACAAAATAGCACTACCAATCTGATTTTTTTAAACTTTGCTTTAGAGAATAAACGAGGCAATTTTAGCTGTTAATGGAAAACCAATGGTCAATTTCTGGTGCAGATACATAACAAATCATGAAGGTATTAGAATATCGATGACAATTGATTTTCTCGGACTGAAACTAATTACTTTACTTTCTATAGATGAGTCATATCCATTTTTGTTCACGTCTTACTTGTCATGGTTCTTTAGTTAGTTTTTCAAAAATATGATGAATAGAATTCTTTATGTGCAGCAATTCCTTCATTACGAGCTCGAGATTGCTCAAAGAATGAGAAAGAAGCTCTCAACTATCTTTTTCTCCTCGTCCCATTGATCAATGTTGTAATCCCATTCTTTTGGAAGTCATTTGCTATTGTTTGGTCGGCTGATGTAGTTGCCTTCCTTGGAATGTATTCATGGAAGGTACATTTACTTTCCAGTTATCCATATTTGTTGTTACTTGTTTTCTTTAGTTTCTTGTAACTTGTTATCTAAAACGTGTCTCTTGCAGGTTGGATGGTTTCAGAGAACGGATTAGGGAACTCAAACTTGGTTATCATCAAAAGCGTGCCTTCAAGGCTTGTTGGATCTTGACATCATGGATCTTAATTCTACATGCCACACAGCAACGAATTGTCACAGATGCATTCTTCTTATAGGTTCTTTAAAAAATTTTGCATTTTGTATGTGTTGCGCGTCTCACATTTCAGAGAACTGAAATTCCCATGTCATAACAGTAATCTCCCAAAGATGAAATATAATGTAGCCATTATACACGGATTTTATATCAGATTTTCTATGGCTTTAACGTTTTTCTTAACTGCACGAAAATCAAAATTTAGAAAACAGTTGTATTCTGGTCTGTATCTGCTGAATGAAGCGTAGGGCGAAATTATATGTTCTTAACATTAATTTATTATGCTTTAATAATTAAACAGATAAATTGTCTCTGGAATACAACTCATGTATTGGTAAAGTATAAGAAAACCCACCATACATTGATTTCGAGCTTATTCAGCAAATACCGCATTCTGAAAACCAATATCTTTCGCTCATTTTATCTTGTCACAAATGCACCGGCAATCTGATACAAGTGCGGTATTTTGCATATCATAATCAGTGAGATTTGAGAAGCAACATCCACCAGCAACTATTGCTTTAAAATATAATACCTGATTTATCAATTTGCAGAGAATAAAATATCTGTCTGCAGATTCATTCTGCACGATGACTGATATCATCGCTTTCCACACAACTATCTGAATTATTTTGTCTGAACTCTCCTTATTGACGCGTTATAGATGCATTGTCGATGTCCTTACATTATATATGCATTACTACCGATGTTCCACCTGTTAATCTAAACCAATCCCAGCTCTTCAATTCTAGTCATCTTCTAATCTTCCTAAATTCAACTAACCCCACGGTGCAGTCACGGATAACTACACAATTTCAGATAGATCCCTCTAGACAGATTCGTGATATAAAAAGGAAATCCATGAAACTAGATCCCTTTGATCAATGTAATCTGGCAATTTCCTTTAGTTCTCAATGTCACCATATTCCCCACGTACATTCAGTGTAGAATTAGACAAACTCATCAGACATACACAAGAAAAATTGTCCAGTCAAGCAAACGCTGTAATGACCAAGCACCAAAATGAAAAACAGCAAGTTCAACATGGCAATGCTACCGGATTGATTCTCTCGCCAATGCATTTCAACTAAGAGTGGGCCGGATTTGACAAGCTCATATCAGAGATATACCAATACATATTTATTTCAAGGTCATGCAAACACTGCTCATGATCCAGCTTTGAAACTCCAAAGGGTCGAATTTTATACATTCTACGATAAAAATATCAAGTCCTGTTTTCCAAATCATACTTGATACTAAATTCAAAATATATGAAAACTGTATTTGGTAGATTACAACTCCCTTTCGTCTTTTATATTATTAGAAGTTAGCTACCTAAAAAAATATTTTAAAAAGAAAAGAAAGGCCACAACCATGGACAATTCATTTTAAACATTCACTTCATAATTCATAATATGAATTCACTTTTACACTATGCTAATCTCAAACGTGCATTACACTATTTGGGAAAATTTTTCTTTTACAATTAAACCAATTTTGTAAACTGAATTAATTCTCCCCGGTCAAAAAGCCGCCATTTCACAATCTACCGCTTCTTTTTATTTGAGCTCCTCCTTTCTGCCTCTTTTTCAGCAACCAGAATACAGAATTCAGAACCAAGCATCTCATGTATATCAAGATTCATAGATAGGCTTAGATCAATAATTCCCTTGATTATTTCCAATGTAACATTGAAGCCTAAGATTGATAGAACTCTAACAGCATTAGCTGCTCTGCAAATATATTTTCTGATCTCCAATATCGTATAATTTTTTTCTTGTTCTTCAAGACTTGCACTGTTATGCAGTAAAACTGGTGGATCGGATTGGCTCACCTGATCTTCTACCATGTCATCTTTGGCTTCAATATGTTCCCCAACCCATATGAATCCGTTACAGCCAAGTATCAAATCGACGCCAAACTCCTCCAGATGATGGAAATGTTGTTTCTGTCTCTTCACTAGATAAGGTGGGACTGTAAGCAGCTGACCTCTATTAAGCTGTTGCACAACCAAGAGACATTAATACCAGTACAAGACTGAAGAAACAACTAGAATCTATTTCAAGCCATCTATAAACACCTTCTAAGAACACAGAAAACTATTTAACCTCAGTTCAAAATGTTGTCCTCGTATCTCAATCAGAAAACCATAGTCGGGACATGGAAGCAGACTACCTATGTACTTCTATATCTGTCAGCAACAATGCCCATATCATAGAGAATTTTCATTTTCTACTGTCTCCCTACTTTATACAATGTGCTACAAGCCTAATACATTTCGAGATGAAAAGAGAAGCGAGATAAAACGAAGTAAATGATTTATGAGCATTTTCCAGGCAACACACCTTTCCATATTTCCGACTCCTTGCTTGAAGGTGTAAGCCGTCATGCTGGAAACCCCGAACTTCAGCCTGGGGTCACAAACATAGTATAGGAAAACTAATCAACCATCATTTGCTTCAACCAATGAAATTAATTTTCAGTAAAAACACAGAACGGGACTTACACAGACAACATCATTCTCCTCAAAAATGCAACGCATGTTTAGCTCATCCAGCGCTGTCCTCCGCCTCTAGCACGGATAAGAATAATTCTAAATGAGAGGGTTTCCAGCTTCATTTATAAAATTAAACACATTTTCGCTTAACTAAAAACATCCTTTTATTTTAAAAAGGCACAAGTTAAATTTTCTGAAGAGAGTTATATGAGCTATACAAAATACAGATGCTTTTCACATAAACTATATCAATATATATCCCCGAAAAAAGCGTTATGAATACCTGGACCCCATCAGGCATATTCATGGAAGAAAGCATCAAAACTGCATCCTGATTGAAATTTATATCCAGTCTCCAGCGCTTCTGAGCAACCTACATAACAGCCATTAAAATCAAAATAGTGAGAGAACAGCAACAAGCACAAAATACAAATTTCCAAGAAAATCTTTTTTATATGTACCTCAGCAACACGTCCTATAACAATGTCACCAACCTCTGGCTTATACCTACGAGTTATCACCTCACTCCGTTAACAAAGATATCAACAGAAAAATGTTGACAAGTTAAGAAGAAATATTATACCTGGAGCGTAAAGCGCGGACGTAGACAAGTTTGTTCACGCGCTCAACGACGCCGCAGACGGTGGCAACGACTTCGCCGTTGAGGTCGGCGGTTCCGTGTCCCTTGAGGACTCCGTCTTCGTGGTTGACGGGAATGGAATCAGCGATGATGACGGAAGCATCGGAATTGACCTTCGACGAGAGAGATTCTAACCGTTCAAGAGTCTTCTGAAGACGAACCTTCTGAGTTTGGCTTAACGGTAACTGTATTCCTCTCATTACGATATCTCGCTCTGCAAGCACTGAACAATGCAAGAAGAAACCCTAAGCTCGAACCTCACTCTTCCACCATCATTCCCTCTTTCAAACTTTGAAATTTGGACCTCTGAGCCCATCCATTCAATGGGCCTTCTGTAAACAGGCTTTCAATTTTGTTTTTTCATTAGTATTACAAATTTAGGGTAATTATTATTAACACCTCTCACTATTACTAACATGCTTCTCTTTTATATTTTTTTATCAAAAATATCTCTTCTCCAGAAGATTCCTCGAAACATTTAATTTAACATATTGTAGAAAGTGCTTTTCAAAAATTAATTTTGAATAGAGAAGTTTAACAATTATTACTTAGGACAATATTACATTTAAATGAAGTCTATTTAAATCAATTTATTTAATTGCCAGTTTTAATACGTGAAATGACAATGACAATGTGAAATTACGAAAAGAAATTTATGTTCACACCAAGTACAATTTGAAGGAAGACATTCTTCTCTCAAGCAAGGACAAACAAAAATAGAAGGCATTCGTTGTTTTGTATTTCAAATATGATATTTTAACACATAATATTTTTCTTTTTTTTTAAATGTATAAAAAATTATTTTATTTTTATAATGTGTATAATTAAATATAAATAAATGTGACCCTATACAGAGCGACTACCGTTAATCTCGTTGTCGTGTGTCTGGTTTTCAACCATAATTTCATTCCCATTCTGCCTTAAATTGTGATAAAAATTACACATGCATGCAACCGAAATCACAATATTAAAAAACAAAATTTAACCTTTTTAGAGTTTGCATCAGTTATAAATATATTAAGCACACTTCAAAATTAGTTGAATAATTTGGTGCTATTGGGCGTTATCCTGAACCTTCGATTACGGTGTGTTAGTTACTGGTTAACCCACACGCACTCTACCTCATTCCCATTTCATATATATACACATTCACAAAACATTCAAATCTTCCACACTGCGTTACGTAACCAAATCCAATTTCTTATTGTGTCCGCGTTCCTCATGAATTTCTTCGCATCCGTTTTCTCCGATTCCGACAATGCGCACCAAAACGAATCGCAAGAGGAAGCGAATAGCGATTCCTCGTCGCCGGAGCGCCGTTCCGATTCCACCGGCGCCGGTGCATGGGAAATCGGCGATCTGTGGAAAAGGCTGAGCGCGAAATCGGAATTGATCATTGAGACCTACCGTCGCGACTTGCAGGAATTCGGTACCGGCTTGAAGAAGGAGATTGAGGTGGCTCAGGGTTCTCTCGAGACGGTGGGCCACGTCATCGACCAGTTCGGGAACACCGTCGCGAAAGGTACCGCTCACTTTATATCTCACGGCAAGGACGCCATCCCCGTCGATTCCGGGTCCGATAGTAATGTTAATACCAAAAACAAGACGGAAAAAAAGAGCTTCAATTCGACGCGCTACAGTAGGTTTGAGGCTCAGGTTCGGACCATTCAGGGTGACGTTAGTACTTACACGGAAGTGCCTGAGGATTTAGATGGGTATGAGAAGTGGAAATCGGGGTTTTCCTTGGAAGGGAAGAGCGAGGAAATGGAAGAGTTGCTGAGAGAGAATGAGGGTATGGAGAGTGTTTACAAGAGGATTGTGCCTAATGTTGTTGACCGTGAAACGTTTTGGTTTAGGTATTATTATAGAGTTTATAGGTTTAACAAAGCTGAGGATATGAGGGCCAGGCTCGTGAGGAGAATGTCGAGGTAGGAGGAGGAGTTGAGCTGGGATGTTGAAGATGATGATGAGGAAGAGGTGGACGAAAATAATAAGCGGAAAGAAGGAAATTCTAATGGAACAGGACGATCGAACGTGGAGCAGATGTATAAGTCTTATGAGGAGGGGTCTAAGGAAGGAAAGAGAGGTGATTTATTGGATAGGAGGGGAACGGGTGATAAGAAGGATGAGTCTGTTGAAGAATCAAAGGTTGACAGTAGTAGAAAGGAAATGGGTGATGGGAGAAAGAAAAAAGAGGACGCAGTGGATGACACTGGTAACATGAATGATTCTGGTGTAGATTCTGATAAGAAAGTGGTCATGGAACAGAAAATTGATAATGGAAAAGATTCATCGGTGGCAAATACGCACCCTGGGAATGAGAATGAGGAGAAGAAGGAGGAGGAACTTGAGTGGGATGAGATTGAGGATCTTAGTGGAATTGATGAAGAGAAGGCAATTCAAACAGGGAGCCCAACCAAAGTTGATTTGCGGAAGCGCCTCGGTACTGCACAACAACAACAAGAAGACTTGAGTTGGGATATTGAAGATGATGATAATGATAAGCCTGCTAATGCTAAGGTTTGAGAAATGTGTATCACTCTCACGACATTTATACATGTAAGTGTGGTTTTGATTACACGAAGTAACACTCTTTTCTTACTTTATATTTGTATAGATTTCTTAGGATTATCACTTTCACATTATAGATATATGAAAAACAGCTATTTTTATTGATTTGTCAGCTCTCGTTAATTTTCATCATATGTTTTATACACATATTGGGTTTTGTTCCTTTATCTGATAACCCGCAAATCAATAATAGTCTGAAGTTCTCTCTGTTCCTTGTAGTACCTAATTTGGTTCAAGGTTTGGCTAACCATGTCACGTTTACACAATTTTTTTTAACAATTTTTTTGACAATTAATTACGTATCATTATTTTATTGATAATCAGTATATTTAAAATAGACCAATTAAAACACTCATAGACAAGAAATCAAAAGCTAAAAGGCTGACATTGAGAAGTACAACGTTTATCAGTGCGGCCATAGTGTGATTTATAATATATAAAATTACATTTATTGATTTATTAGCAATTCTAATTAGCACATCTATTTTTTCTGTTGAATTTTTTTATTTTTTATTTTTACAGTGATATGAAGCTAACCACAATAGGTTATAAATATTTGCATACTTTACAAAATAATATATTAATTCTGGGTAAGAAAGCATAGAAAGATGGTAAATGATTTGAAATGTCGAGGATCAGAGTACTGCATAGTAAAAAACCTTCACCGGAAGCATCGAGTGCAATCCTTTATATTTCAGTAGAAACTGTTACCAACAGTTAGTTGTCAAAGGTCACTTGCCTTGTCTAAAGTGAGCATATGAATGAAGAAAAACTGTACAGATATGGCTACAGTTGAACTTAGTTAAAATTATTGCTTCTTATTAAAATTTACGGTAAATACATTAAAGTGTGTACTTCTATACAAGTTCAGGAAAAATAATTACAAGGACGAAAGTAAAACAGAATCCATGAAGTGGAAATCGTGCAGACACAAGAGAGGAATGGGTACTACTTTCCCCTCCCATTATCTGTTAATAATGCTTTCGATGTCCTGAACCACTTTTAATACTCACGTGTCCTGAGGCAGCCAGTATACAGTCAGGCTCTAAACCTTTAAATGAAAATATAAATGAGCATTCTTAAAAAATTCTATCGGCACGGTAAGTATAATTCACATTCTTCAAATTTGGAAGCTATACTTGTCCAAATCCCTTAAGCTGATTGGAACCCACAATAAACTATTGTGAATACTAGATTCTATGCTATCTATCTAGAAAAGCAAGTAAAAGGGAAAATGTGAGGAAAAAATGAATTAAAAAAACTCTTCTAGCACCCCTGGGCTCGTTTGTACAACAAAATTAATACTCCACAGTCCAGATTAAATAACCTAGGCACGAAATCCATTCACATCTCATTAAAACCCAAAGGCAGCTTCAAGGCTCAACTCATGCCTACCCTTCAACAGCTATGCTGGGCTCAGAGGTAGACTCTCCCAAGTGTGATTCAACTGGAGAGGGTAATTCCATAAGTCGTCCTTTTTGGGCACGAGGTGGCAGATGCCTTGTGTGTTTTCTGGATGTTCCCTTCCAAGGCAAGAAAACCCCAGTCCCACCTCGAGGAAGTTTGCGAGAGTTCACTGCCACAGGACGCATAGGTGGTAGCATAACAATTGGAGCACCAAATATTCCCCAGTTAGGCATCATATCCATTGCTTCATAGCCGCTTAGAGCTCCATTTGACAAAGTATATGGACTAGTAATGCCAGGTTGCCAAAGAGTCATCGCAGTTGTCATGGTAGGAACTGGTGATAGGCATTGATTGGAATCTGGCCTCACTCTAAAAAAGCTGATGCTCACCCTTCTGTTGGGGGATGGACACATTACGTGTCTTGCCATGTCTGCACTGTTTCCCCTCATCACTATAAGAGACCTGCATTATGTTTATCATCTCATCATGTAATACTGTCATGTGTCATGTTATAGATCAAAAGAAAACCATGCAACATATTTATACTAATAAATAATAAATAATAATTATTATTATTATTATTTTAATAATTATTGTTAGTGAAACGCATGTAAGGCGTAACATCTACAGCCCCTGAAATAGCAGAAGCCACTTGTCCAGTCACTGTATGCATATCTTAAGAGCATCTCAGAAAAAAGCTTTCAGACCTTTAATGTAGAAGTTAATACTTATTCAACTAGAGAACTTAACCACTTCAAAGCTCAAACACAAAATGATATGCGTGGAAAAATGTCCTTCTCCGGCTATCAGAATGGAAACCGATAAAGGACCTTGTGCAAATGCTGAAAATTGGAGACTAGGTGTCACTTCTGCAATCTGGCAATTGATATTTCCAGGATCAAAAAAGAAAAATAAACTATCCCCCAAAGTACCTATTACTCAATAAAAAAGAGGAAAAGGGAGCAATCTAACCAAAGAATAATGTGAATTTATATTCATCCTCTAAAAGGTAATTTAGTTGCGTGGCCTATTATTCATTTACATGCTGTCCAATAAAATGTTGACTGTATTCTGTCTCTGTATCTAGAAATGAATAGAATATTAAAATAAATGGAAGTTAGAACCACTTAGAATGTAATTTGTTTAATTTATACCCCTCCTTCAATGACAGCATGAGTGGTCCTTTGTAGTTCCCATCATTTTCACTGACAAGGATACGTCCAAAAGCCATTGTTGATTCAGAAAGAAGAAGTGTGGATAGAGGCTGGTCCAGATGGGGTGGTTTCAGGAATGGTTGAGAAAATTCCCCCTATAATGCAAACATTGCTAGTTGGTTACTCGTCTGCAGAAATGAATGTTTCTAGTGCCTTTCTGGGACCAAAAATTGATAGGAAAAACTCAAAATCTTTACCTCTTCAAAAAAGTTGATGATACAACCATTTGGCCTTTTGTACTCTGGAATTAATTTCCATTGAATAAGGTGATCAATGACATCATGGAGAAGTGCTGGGATAGGCTCGATATTGCCTGTAAACAAAATACGCAAAAACACTTTGAATTTCATAATTCGTTCTATCCTTATAATATAGATATTTTTATATGGAATTGGATTAGAACAACCAAATTACAGTTTTATTAAAGTGGACATAGATCAAATTATGAGGTTTTTCTTCTTACTTTTGGTATCATCCTTTATCTGTCCAAATATCGGAACACCCAACTGAATCAGCTCTCTCTTGTTTCCCTTCATCTGTTTGTTGAATAGTATAAACGTTTCACCTACATTTATTCAAAAAGATTACTTAGAAAGTAAAATACAATAGACAACAGGACAACTTGCCTTAAATCATCTACCTGTGCCTAAACCTGTCTTGTGATTGGTGACAAAAGTGGAAAAAAAAAATATTCAATGAAAGCATACAATCTCGGCTGAAAGTCCAAAAACACTTGACTTATTATTACATAGATCCTGATATTGATTATATTGCATGTACTATTTTGATTTATTAAATGATTTGAAGGAAGAAACTGCTGTACATTTTACAAGTCCCTAGTCCCAAAATTAAACCTACAAACAGATGCCATTGGTGATTGAAGATGACCAATAACATTAAAAACTTAAAAATCAGCTATATGAAGTACAACTTTAATAATCCTTTCACAAAATTAGGAAATAACAGGTTAATGGTGATTTACCTGAGAGTTCCCCGTTCTGGCCAGCAGCATGAATATCATTTACAAAATCAGTCAGCTTGCAGATTTCTGATTCAGAAAACACGTCCTCGTACAACTTCAATCCTTTCACAACATTCACCTGCAAATAGCAATATTATCTGTCATTCAGCAATATCCAGTTGCTTCTTAATACTAAAACTTGTTATACCAGCTCTATGAATCCGTGTTTCTTTATTGAAAAGAATATATTGGCTATTGAGGTTGTAAAAGAAAGAACTTGCCATATGCCCCTTCACGGACTCCTTTGCTGAGAAACCTTTTGTCAGCTTTATCTGTGAAGAGCGTCCTTCACATCCTTCATGATTGGAACATATATTATTGTTCAGTGCACTGGAATGCATTTCCTGAGATCCTGCACATCAGACCATAGAAAATCCAAGTAACATTTAGCACACAACGAAAGACTAGGAATGGATTGACTTCACCCATTAGAGTGCAATAAATTTTTTTCCAAAACATTCTGGTATAGTCTATACCCATGATTTATTACACGCATTTTCATGGTTAAATCTTACCAGCCCTTTAGTGATAGTTGAATAAAGAATTTCATGGTTAAATTTCAAGAATGGTTAGCAATAAAGAAGACCGATTGTTCCAAACACCGCCTTGCAAGAAAGAAGTCTTGCTTTACTCCGTTTCCGGCTGTTCCAAACACAGAGTACAGTTAACAGTGACAAAATGGGCGGGCCTTTATTGTAACAAACAAAAGTATCATGATAACACATGTCCGTGTAAGGGTAGGACTCAGACATGTTTTTTTAGAACCAAAACATTAATTAATAACAATACACATTAAATCAAATTTGTACACATTTTTTATAATTTATTTTTTCTTTTAATATATTTATGTATCACTTTACTCTTTTTACTTCCCTCTTTTTATTTCACATTTTTTCTTTCTCTCTTATATTTTCTTTGAATGAAGAATGACACAAAAGAACAATATACAAAAAATATAAATAACATTCAAAAGAACTATTTATTTCTTCACATGAATTTATTTATTATTTATTATTAAATAATTTATTTATCATAAAGAAAGTGTTAATCAACTTCTCTCCCATCTCACAGTAGTTGAGAAGTATTTTCATCCCTCTTTTTTTATTTATTTTCTTAAAAGACATAATTAAGTTTAATACATTTTTATCTTAGTTCTCTTTCTCCTTTTTCATCCAACTATTTGCACTCAACAAAATAAATTTAAAGTATAATGCATTTGTTTATTTTTTTAACTGAAAATGTGTTTTTAGTGCACATTCTATACTAAACTAATATGGACCCTCACTAGTTTCTTCAATCAGTCTTTCTAAACAACAAAAATTGGACCATTAAATAATTGTGTTATGATTAACCTTAGAACTAAATATTAAAAGGAAACTTTGACTGCAAGGATCCAGGTCCATAAGCAATGATGCACTTGGAATTATTGCAGAGGTAGTACTAGAGAGTACCTGTTTCGTGTTCCTTTTTTGTAATTCTAACGTTTATAAATTATGTATACTCTGTTTTCCTACCCGTAATTAAAGTTCATTCATCGGATCTTCACTTATGGACCGAATTGACCCGCCAACTTAGACCCATTAAAGAAACTCAACACTTTAACAAGTTGTTTCATAGGGAATAGGGCGTTATATGTCAAAGCTCAACTACCCAACCATTCGTACCCGAACCCGCACGTGGTACAATGTCAGAAGATGGAACAATTCACGTGACGTCAACAACGACAATCATAATGCAACCGGCTGATAGTTCAGCCGACTGTAATTAGCAACATTGCACACATCTTTAGAAGTCTCTCTAACTAACATTGTGGTGTTCGCCCCTGCCCCGAGGCACCAACTAACCGTAACACCAAAGCTACTTACAAAACCTATTCAAAATTCAGAAATAAGGACAATGTTTTTATCATAAAATATTCTAAGCATATAGAAACTAAAAAAAAATGTAATTAAGTTTTGAAATATGATAAAACAAATTATGCAGATTTCAATTTTTTATATCAATTTAAATTCCCTCTGATTATTTTCTCCATTTTCTCTCATTATAATAAATGATAAAGAATATAATCAAAAATAAATTTATTATTTAACTATTAATATTGTTAAATAGCAACCAAAATGAAAATTTCTTTTTTGTCAGCATGCCAAACAAAATAAGAGAAAGATAATAATAAAAATCTAAATCTAACAAAAAAAAATATAATGTTACTTTAATTATTATTTTTTATATTGGATGAATTTTTTATTTGAATAATGCATTAAATAATTTATTTAACTTTTTTCAAAATAAAGAATTAAAGTAGAAGACTCAACCTAAAATATATAATAAAGATCATTTAATAAATTTGTTCACCCGTAAAATTATTCATTATTTTCTTTTTTTTTTGAAAAATCATATATATCACTTTTTTTATAGATGGAGTAATTGGAAATTTATTTGATGAAAAGTATTAAAAAGCAGTTTGATGTTAAATGTAAATTAAGATATAAACGTATTATAATTTTTTAATATTTAGGCAGTCAACAACAGTTTCAAAAGACAAAAAAAAAGTATATTGACAAACTATTTTAATTAAATTATAAGAGAAAAGCATATAAAGACTAATATGAAATAATAAGAATTCAAAATCATAATATAATTTAATGAAAATAAATTATCAAACATATTCCATGCGTGCCATTAATTTAATAGAAGAGAAAAAAAAGCAACAATCCTATTGGTCATAATTATGTTTCCCTAAAAATAATTAATTATAAAATATGGATCAAAACTTTGAACGACGTCTGCGGTCTACCGTTGCGCAACCGAAATTTGACTTCAAAGCAATAAAAATGTGAAAAACTAACTTTCCTGTGCTTCTATTTCTTAGCCACACAGAAGGGAATGAAAATAACATTTTCCGTATAAAAGTGATGGAAAAAAATAATAAAGCAGAAACACAAAAGTTTACTGGTATGAAGAGACACTAAAAATTTTCACCCTTGTCAATCACAAAAAAATATCTCCAATATATAAAAACACCAGTAAAAATAAAAGTAATTATTGAATAATCAGAAAAACGACTACTCAATTCTCCGGCAAAAGGAGGAAGGTCGTGAATCTAAAAGAGTATATCACATAATATGAAAAATCAAGATTGAAGGTGAATAGTGAATCATTCAAATATTACAGAGAAAAATTAAAACAGAAATTATATGATCACTGTGAAATTGATTATTATTACCTGAATCAGTTATTTCACTGTCTGGCGAATCATATTCCGGCGCAGCTTCGTCACCTTCATTTCCACCAGTTTCCACTTTTTCCTTCTTCAATTTCTGTTCCTCGCCGAAGCTGCTGTTGCTCTTTTTGAGGCCTTCAGCCTCAGTTTTACTGTCCACAACTTTGCGGAGCTCGAGAGCGACATCAGCAATGGAATGATACTTCTGCATCTGGATGATAGGGATCCAGTTGATTCGGCGGTGGTGGATGGCTGTGAAGGTGGCTTCGTAGTCGGAGGAGGCAGTAGCGATGCTGGCTAGGTGGCCGCAGAGCGCGTCGATGATCGCGTTGGCTGCAGCGAATTCCCCGCGAAACCAGGCGAGAATGGCGTCCTTGGCGAAGGAGTCGGAAACGATGAGCGACGGCGGCACCATTGCCGGTGGATCGGTCCGCGATACTGGGACAGCCGCCATAGGCAGAGGGATATGGTTGAATGTGAAATAAAACAAAACAGAGACAAATAAGAGAAGTCAGAGAGAGAAAGGAAGAATAATGGAAAAGGGTTTTAGTTAGAGCGAATGGAGTGAGTCACATGAGATGTGATGCAATGGAAGAGAGGAGAAGGGGTTTAGCTATAAAGAGGAGTCGGATTTATTGTCCCTCTCATTCTTTTTTTTTTTTTTTTCATGTGTGTCTGCTCCGTACAATTCACACCCCCCTTCTATGTAACGTGGCACCATCACCACTCTTCATGACTGCCCAAAAATCTTACGTAAACCTCAAATCTATCAAAAAATTCATTTTATGCTATACTTAACCCTCTTTACTTTTAATTCTATATTTTCCCTCATTCTCCTTTTTCAAAATACTATACACTTTTTAATGCCTTCAAAATTAATTAATTATTTACTTTCACTTTATTAAATCTTATTTTTCTACTTTTAACCGTTTTATTTCCATATTACATATTAATTTTTAGATCTTAATGCCAAGTCATTGTTAACTTAAAAACTTGCGCTCCTGAGTTTAAATCAATTTTCAAGACTATGAATTAATTAAATATTAATTATATATATAAAGAGAGAGAGAAGAAATAGGTAAAAATAGGATAAAATAGGAATTGTTTAATGGAAATTAAATAGATAGCATAATAAATTAATTCCTTAATTGTTTTTACTTAATGTAATAATTGTCAAGATATATCATTAGTACATGTAATAATATTTAATAAGTACTATTCTTAATATATTGTTATTTAATCATATATATTGAAAAATAATATATAAATAGATTAACAATGCATTATTTGGTTTGAATACTACTAAACTGAATTTAAAGGAAAATATTAGATAATCATGTTCATATTTAAAAAAAAGTAATACTATTAATAATTTAAAAATAATCATATTAGAAAAAAAAGTAAACCTATTAAAAAAACTTATTAGAGGATAAAAAATACTATATTAAACGTAACTAACAAAAAAATGTTAAACGTAACTTGAAAAAAAAGCATAAAATCCACAATAACGTGACATAATTAATAAAGGTATAATACATTGGAGTTATAGTAAATTAACAACTCATTGTTCCATACTGTTTTTATTACTTTTTATTACATAATTTAATTAAATATATTAGTTTAATAATTTGTTTTTGAAAACCATCTCTCATTTAATTATTTAGAGAGACCTGATTGAGTACATTTTTAATTAACTATAGACTTTCTACTGTTATCTTAATGTGGCAGAATTACTTTGAACTTTAATTTTGTAAATTAAAAAAATATGAATATTTTTTAAAATCGTTTTGTTAGATTTTAAAAGTTATTAATTTTCGATAGGGTAACATTTTTATATTGAGAGTGATGATCCAAAAAAAAAATTGAAATGATTTTGAAATGTATATTTTAAAAAATATATAAAAGATTAATTATGTTTTAGTTATCTAATAAATTTAATATTTTAATTGAATCTTTATTAAAAATTAGTTTTTCTTAATATTTAAAGTTTTTTTTTATTTTCATGTAAGTATTTAATATTTACTTTTATAGATGATATATAGTTGTTATTTCCATTTTTTTTTATTTCTGTGGATTAACTCGCTTTTTTATCTTTAATTTCTCGCAATTCACCCTTTGAAAGAAAACGAACAAATAGACTGAACAATTGTAAGATATTAAAAACCGTAGTGAACGGAGAATGAAAAATATAACTGAAAACAAGATAATTAAACGAAAATAACAAATATTTTAAATATTCAATAGAAATATTTTTTTAATATTCTTAATAAAATCTTATTTAAAATTATAGAAATGTATAATATAGTAAACATTATATCAAAGTAACTGTAGTAGTGATAATGTTTCTCATTCGTCATAATTTTCAGTGTAAATTTATGTGAGTCACCCTTCGCTCCAATCCTTGAATTCCGAATTCTGTGACGTTTTTCTCAGTTTTCAGTGAAAGAAAAGAAACAAGAGAGCAATAAATAAGATATTGACTCAAACTCTTTCTCCTCGAATAGTAAATATTAGTTAGTTACGTTTTCGTTTTAAATATCTAATTCGTTGATTACAATTTATAAAATGCATTAAAATTGTATTTTAAAATATAAATATAGTAAGAATTAAACAATTAATTTAACAGGCATACAAAACTGATAAAAGAATTGTATGATTTGTCATGTGACTATTATAAAAGTTAATAAAATTGAAATATATAAAATGTTTTGTGATAATGTATGTCTGATATGTGAAAAATGGTACTACACTTTTTATTTATTTATTTATTTAATGTGTTTTGTTCTAGAATAAAAGTGTTGATGATTCTATTATCACTTTATTCTCCGTGATGAACAGAACATCGTTGGGGTCCAAACGTTTGTGTATGATGAGAGAGTGAGAAGCAATTGGAACCGTTAAATTGGATTTTTCATCGTCAAACACGGTGGTTTGTTACTAGTTTTGGTCCCCAAAACTTAGGCAAAGAGATAGAGCTTTAATTTCGATTAAGATGTGTGTGCCAAAGTTTATTCATTATTTTATTTTGAATAATTTAATGGCTCGAATAGTCGCATAAATGTTTTTGAGGAATTTATATAAATTATATAAATGAGTGGAATAAGTAAAAGGGTTAAAGGCATTGCTGTGGGACCCTTCCCTTAGGAATTAGGAGCATCGGGTCCATTGAACTCCACCGAGGAAGGAGGAAGGAGCAATGGTAGGTACTGTTGCTGGGGCCCACGCAGAGCCTCTATTGTTGGTTGGCACTTCGCGGACCTCAATTGGGCCCCACAACCTTAAGGTCGTAACTCACAAGGAAACGCTTTCAATTATTGTTCCAATGACTCTCTCCCAAACAAACCACTACTAACGTTTCTCTCCCACTCTGCAATCTAGTAGTTGAATTTTGTTCTGTTCCTCGTACAAAACGACGTCGCTCTGAATCACCGTACTTTTACAATCGGCTCGGCTCCGCTCGGCTTATGTGGGAAAAGGTTATTCCCCTTCGTCTTCATGTTATGCGATCGCGACAGAAAGTTGTTTGCATAGTTTCTCTTCTTATCGAATTTTCCGCTGTCATAACATAATTTAAGTTTACTTTTATTAAATTTAAACAAACTTTATTTTTAGTTTCTTAAATTTAACGTTTATTTTAAAAAATATATATTTAGTCTAAACTTTACACACCACTAATGGTTTCATGTCCACTGTAATTAAATTAGAAGCGTCATAATTTATGTTATTTACATTTGTAATAAAAATATGTCAAGTTTCATAACATTAATAGTCAGACATTTAGGAATTAAAATAAAGTTCTCTCAAATCGCGGAAATAAATTCATATTTAAGTCAGAGCTTTTATAATTAAAAACATTATTAATTAGTGTTTATATTTTTAAACTTTAGAAAAAATTTATATGAACACAAATTAAAATTTAAAGATGTAAAGAGTCAAGCATAAATTTGGATGAAAATATCTACACTCTTTAATTATAAAATGGATTACACTTTCTATTGTAATTGTCAAAGAGAAAAAAGAAATTGAATTGCGTTGAAAGCAAGCTATTACTTCTACTGTGATTTAAATATTTAAAAACGCTAAATATACTTACAGGGAAAAATACCCGAAATATATTGCTTTCCATAGGCAATTTGAAGTAGAACTTTATGAGATTCTTTCTTTTTTGAGAAATTATTAGATTCTTGAATAACAATTAGTAAGAAAATGAATATTTAAAATTAAAATTACGAAATCATGCACTATAGCTTAATTTCTTATAATTATATAATAGAATATTTTGAATGAAACAGTCATTTAGCAACTAAGAAAAATGTATAAAAAAAAACACTACAATGCGTTTTTGAGATGGCAGCTAAGCTAAGCTGATTAAATAAGACATAAAATTAAGAAGTGGGACCAATGTGTAGAGCTTCAATCCTATTTTCCACTAGCCCAAAAGCTAAAGATGACACACGATAATACTGTTAAAGGTTAAAAAAAATATTTTTTTAAAACACATATTTATTCTTATTATTAAAACATAATTTCATGTCAAGTTCAATAATAGTTAAAACAATTTAAAAAACCTATACAAAAGGAATATTCTTTAACTAATAAAATTAAGACTTAATTGTATCTTTTATCCTTGCAAAAAAATTAAAAGATTTTAATTTTGATCACTATTTTTTGTTAGATTTTAAAAAAATTACTTTTGTGTAAAATGTGTGAATTTTTTTTTAATCTCTATAAAAAAATTTCTTTCTAAAAAATTAATTAATTAATTTTAATTTTTAATATTCATTTTAAAATAGATTAATAATATTTATTTCAAGGATCTCAAGAGAATTTGAGATGATGTATCTTAAATAACTATTTAATCTTTTGTTCCTCTGATAAAAATAATAATTAATTTTATAATACTAAATAATGAGAGTAACAATTTCCATTTTTTTTAAAATATAAGGAAATATTTTTACAGAATAAAACGAAGCTAAATTTAAGACCTGAAATACGTATCATCGTATAACGGCAACGAAAAACAGCATAAAAAATAAGAATAAATAAAAATGTGATAATATAAAAATAACGTAAAAAATAAAAATTTGTACGTACCGAAGGGCAATTTCTCTTTGTGTACGTTCACATCATAATAAACATTCGTGACATAAGTCTGCGTCAAAGTAAAGCATATACTTTAACGGATCCGTGATGCTATTGACGTATGTGTTGAAATTTAGTAACATTATTTGGACATAAATAACATTTTAATTACAAATGTTTTTCATTTTTAATATTTTATTTTATTTCTTCATATTGATTTTTCTTTTTATTTTAATTCCTATAGTCTCATTCTTTTAATGATGAATTATTGGTTAAACATGATGGATTATTGGTTGAATAATACGAACTTAAGTATCCCTTACACGTATATATTTTTTTGGTCCAATAAAATTGTAGATTTTTCTTTTGTATTTAATATTTTAATTATTTTGATACTTCAAAAAACAAAATCTATATATTATTGAGATTATAAAGTGATGAATTGTTTATAAATGATGGTATCTATGACCTATGAATTTCTTAAAAGTTATTTTATTTAGATTGGAAACAATTAATGTGATGGAAA